TGGTTCTAGTCTAAAGGCAGGAAAATACCAACGTCCCAAGTCAAAGGCAGTTAGGCAGAAAGAATTCTCTTCTACTCAGTCTTTTTGTTCTAGTCAGTCCTTCAGCTGATTGGATGAGGCCCACCACATTAGGGAAGGCAATCTGCTTTACTCAGTCTACCAATTCAAATGCGAATCTCATCCAGAAACACCCTTACAAGCATCTAGAATAATGTTTGACCAAATGTGTCACCCTGTGGCCCAATCAAGTTGACACATAAAATTAACCATCACAAAGACTAACTAGGAAATTGTGTTTACAAACAAGATGGTTGAACAGAAATAATAGGCACAATAACATGTCGGGTGATGAGGAATGGGGGCTTTCTGATTGGAGTGAGTGCATTCTAAATTACTTATGCTCAGAATTACGAAGGAGGTATGATTAGATTAGATATTGTTTAAATTTTTTTGAGAGGACTACTGAAGAAGTAGATACAAAGTGTATTACATTCAAGTGAATAAAGAGAGAAAGGGGGCATAAAGAAAATTTGATCAACTAGGAGGTAGTAAAGGAGAAATGGAGAAGGGAAGAAAACGGTTACCAGAACAAGAGGGTAGAGATAAGTCCAGATGTCTCAGTTGCAAGTGGATTAAACTCACTTTTTAAAAAGCAAAGATTTTCAAATTTGATTTTAGAAAATCTGGCTAAATGTTATTAATAAGAGTCAGGACTAAGACTTAATGATAAAATGAAGTTTAAAGTAAAGAAATGGAATACCAGATATATCAGGCAGTTACTATCCGAAAGAAAAGTGGTGCAGCAGTATTACCACTAGGTAATGTTATGTTTAGCACAAAAAAAGAGATTGAGAAGGTTATGACTTGATGCCAAAAGACATAATTTCTAAGAAGTATATGTAAAACAATGAGTTTGTACACCCAACAAAATAGCCTCCTAATATAGAAAACAAACATTGATAGAATTATGTGGAGAAACTGACAGTAGTAGTAGATTAGTTCATATCTAGTGTGGAAAATATTAATAAGAATATATAAGATTTGAATAATACAATTAAAAACCTTGACATACTAGACATACCTGAACTTTGTACCTCAATAGGAACTTCAGTGAGTTTTAAGATATATAAAACATTTATAAAAATATGTTCCATATAAAAACACAAAGGAAGTCAAGCACATACTTCCAAATTAAAATAAACATCACATACATTGACCACAATCAGATCAAATTGGAAATATAAAAAATGAAATGTTTAAAAGAATTTATGAATCAAAGATTAAATCATAATGGAAACTACAAAATATTTATAAATGACAACAAAAATTATGGCATGTAGCTAAAGCAGAATTTAGAGGAAAAATTATAGCCTTAAAAAGTATGTTAAAAGATTAAAAATGTATTTAATAAACATAGTAAATTAGTAAAAGGATAAGTGTAGCAAACTCAAAGAAGAAAGCAGGAAACAATGATCACAAAAGGATAAATTCAATGTAACTTGAAGAAATGGAGCAGTAGAGAGAAAGCAAAACCCAAATTTGGTTTCTTGAAAATACTAGTAAAACAAACCAGCCTCTAGCAAGAGTGATAAATTTAAAAGTTTACACAAATTAATCTTAGGCTATCCAAAGTTAATTTAATTGCCGATCCAGAAGCTAAATCAGAATGGTGGGACATGGATATTTATTATATTAGCCTCCTGCCTTCTTTATGTTAGAAATATTCCACAATAAAAAGATCATGATCTTTATTTAGGCATTATGCCTTAGTCCAGGCATTGTCTCTTGCCTGTCTTCTGTGTAGCGTGCTTTAACAGATACCAGCTCTCCTATTCTTGTACATCTTGCTTCAAGTGACTCATGCATTCTTGCTTTGCACATGCTTGGTAGATAGTTGAAATCCCAGCAGTTGAAGCAGTGACAGGGTTAAATTGTGAAATCAACAGAATGACTACCTCTAGCAAAGGTTAGGGAGAACAAAACTCCTGTCTACCTGTGGTCAAAATAGATTGATGTACGTTGGACAGATGTCATGGCTGGCCTAGGGACAGCTTCTGTGAAAGGCATAGGCTTCCGTGAGGGTTCCTATCCCCAGCCGTCCCAAGATTGTCCAATTGCCTTTCCTTATCTGGTTGATGTTATTATTCCTCCCTTGGGCATTTCCTAAGCTTCAGAGTATGTGTGTAAATATATGCTTGCACTCTGGCTTGATCTGAGATGTAGACCTCCTCAAGCCTGAGTGCAAAGACCCAGGCATGGAGGGCAGGCACATCCTGCATCTGGAACCTTGGCCTGCAGTTCCTATGTGTTAGCACTTTTCTCTCGTGCTCTGAAAAACGGCAGCTTGCAAGAAGAGAAAGGGGCTTTTTTTGAGTTTAAAATGAACACGGACTCAATATATAGTTTTTACTATTCAATTTAAAATCACTGACTTCCTCTCGCAAGCTTCCTTTGATTTGAATAGTGTTCTATTCAATATATTCAAACTATTTTTTTTAAGTTTATTGGCTATGATTCTTAATTCTGGTAAGCACACTGTTCTAAAATGTATATTGTGAGGAAAATTATGATGTCATCAGTTTCTTTTTTCTTTAATATTTCCCTTTCTTCCCTCATAAAATAAATGACCTAATTTTTCTCTGTACTAGGGTATTGTCCCTCTTCTTTTTTAAAAAAGGGCCTTTGTTTTATGATTTTAGCAATGAGTTTGCATGTAGTTTGGTATGAGGTCAGTAATTTTCCCTAGAATAGCACTTTTGGGTATACTGTCTGGTCATTTAGTAATCTTCTTCTCACATGGGTATGAGAGTTAGCAGTATAATAACTTAGCAATAACCAGGTGCATGTGGAGAAGGTGCTTTTGTTCCCTTGAGACACTGATAGCATCATGGGTACCACAAAGGAATGTGTCTGCCATAACTATCCGGTGACTGAGTGGCAGACCAGAGAGAGTGCAGTCCCTCAGGGAAGGTGACCCAGTGCATGTGCGATTGCTTTGTTCCCCTCCTACTAGCCTGGCCTTAGAATTAAGTTGGGAAAACAGAGTGAGTTTACCAGGTACTTTTCTATCTATTTAACACTATTGTTGGAATAATCTATTCTTTTATAATAAGACAGTTTGCCGCTTCATATTTCCAATGTTTGTTCCACTTATCCATGGTAATGTCTTTCCGAAATAATTGAGTCTAACTTAAGCTTACATGAGGCAAATGCCTAAGCCTGATTTGTTTCTTATTATTACTTAAACTTTAACAAAATAAATAACAAAAAAGCTGTTGTAGCTGTTTTCTCTAGGGACTCATGTAAGAACCCTTAAAGGTAGTCATGTCAGATAACATTATCACTTTCTACAGAGGAAGACACCGAATTTGAGAGGTTCCATAATTTGCCAGGTTGCAGAGCTGGGTATAGGGATAGGGCTGGATAGGATTCCTCCAGTGATGATGATCTTTCCTGAGACTCCAAATATGGCCTCTCCACTTGCAGTGCAAACACATTTATAAATGGCTATTAACTATATAACATTGCTATAAACATGCAGTTATGGAACTAAGAATAGGAAATAATTAAAATTATTGCGCTTCATTTTTTCTTTGTGCACTCCCTACTATGCTTAAGTGAGAAAGATGTCATTTCCTTATTTCCTTACACAGAATTTACTAACATTTATCATATCTGTCAGTGTTCTTATGGTACTGAACTTGATAAAGAACATCATAATCTAAAAAAATATGTTAAGCCAAAAATTTTCTCAGAACCTGAATGACATAGGTCTGTGGTCTGTGTTCATTCTGTTTAACTAGATAATTATCCAGTATGCATTTTAGTTTGTGCTTGTAGGGACCAGACCCTAAGCTATTTTGGCAAATGGGAATGATTCCACTGGAGGACTTGAAGGAATTGGTTCCTAAGCAACACCTGACTTAGCTTCCATCTAGAGACTTGCCTTCCTCCCATGCTGAGGAAGAAGAGTTCTGGCCACCATGGCTTCTGCATGCCTGCAGTAAACAGTGAGGCCAGGATCTCCTGCCTCACTTTTCAAAGGTGTGATCTGATATAGCATCCCTCAGAAGATGCCTCCCATAGTCCCTTCTGTTGCAGTTCCCCGGGATAAGGTCAATTTAATTTGCAACTGGGTGTGATGAGACGTTTTGGGACAAAAATTCATATATAAATGTGTGTGTGTGTGTGTATTATTTTCCCTTATTTAAGATTCGCTCAGGGCTTCCCTGGTGGCGCAGTGGTTGAGAATCCGCCTGCCGATGCAGGGGACACGGGTTCGTGCCCCGGTCCGGGAGGATCCCACATGCCACGGAGAGGCTGGGCCCGTGAGCCATGGCCGCTGAGCCTGCGCATCCGGAGCCTGTGCTCCGCAACGGGAGAGGCCACAGCAGTGAGAGGCCCGCGTACCGCAAAAAAAAAAAAAAAGAGATTCGCTCTATTGTCAGTCAGTTTTACCTACTTTCCTTACCTGTGAAATGGACATAACATTTTCGTGGCAGTTGATGAGAATTATTTCAGAAAGGTTTAGAATTCAGAGATGCTTTCTCGGCTGAAAGTTATTTTTTATTGATGTCACTGAAGTCTTTGAATCTGACCTGCCTTCACTAAGCTTTCCAGGTACATATGCTTGATTGTAACATACTTACCTGCAAAAGGTAAATATTTTCGTTTCTGATTGTTTTTGTTGTGGGTTTTTTTCCCCCAAGTGGGCTTTTCCAAAGCTAATTTATCTGCAAAGAGACATATGCTTTAGGTCTGTACTTGTTAATTTACCTTGGAAAAATTAGGTCATCTTCAAATCTGGCAATGTGGCTTATAAACTTGGCAAAATGGTCTAATTAAAAGCTTCCCGTAGATTTGAAAAAAGGAAAAAAATGATTAGTATCAGTAACATTTTCATTTTCATGCTTTGTGTATTTATAGGTATATGTCACTTCTCATGTTGTATTAAAAGTATGTTGACTGTCTGCTAACAGTTCATCTCTTTTCTTCTGCAGCCTCCAAGTCTGTTATAAATAGTATGCTACGGGACCCTTCTCAGATTCCAGATGGAGTTCTAGCAAATCAGGTCTATCAGGTATTAATCACAGCTGTCTATTTTCAGTGGCAATGCTGTTATCTGCCTAGCAGAGTAAAGGATTTTAAACCTCATTTAATTACTGTCATCATAAACTATCACTGAGGTCAGGGTGCACCATAAATGGCAATGCAATATTTGCGAGAAGAGCATTTCACTTTTTAATAGCTTGCTTTTATAGTGAATAAAAAGGATGCAATTTTTGTTTTCTGTGATTAAATCTGAACAGTCTTTTGATAGCTTTAAAAAAATTTTTTTTAGGAAAAGGAATTACTGCTTTTAGGATACTATTTAACTGCAACAGTTTTTGTAGTCACTCATCCCAGACCCCTTCTCTTATTTGTCTGCAGTGCATCGTGAACGACTGCTGTTATGGACCACTGGTGGACTGCATCAAACAGTATCCTTTCCCATAAAATTTTAGGTGCACAATTGATGAGCTTAGACTCAGTGGAGGAGATGTGTCTAGCTTTAACCTGACATAAAGTTCTGCTTCACAAAACACATTTCATACTCTTCTATTTTATATTCAATCAACTGGAGGGTCACTGCAGACCATTCTTTTCTACAGCTTAAAAAAAAAAAAATCAGATAGGCCCCGGGAAGATGTCAGTTCAGCAGTTGCACAGTCACAGGCTTATTTCAAACTGCTTGGTTTTCAGTGAGTTTAAAGGTACAGAGTCATGAGGCAAGTAACACATTGTCTTGGATGTCTAACCATTCCAGTGAACATTTTTCCAAATATAACACATTTCTATTTAAAATGAACCAAATTTAGTTGAGAATAAATTTTGAGCCTGGAGTTAAAGGATGATGTGATTAAAATGCCACCAGAGACCATCACATTTTAAAGGGCAGTAGATTCTTATTGCTTAAATGTTGATTACAATCTGAGCTCTTGCTTGGGTTCCTAATAAACATTTTTAGAGAAAACCAAGCTAATTTTTCCCTCTGGACTGAATTTAAGGCTATGAGAACAGATGTCCAGTCATTCTTCATTAAAGATATTGAGATTACTAGAGTTAATGCTTGCTTCTTCAAACAGGATTTGAGTGGACAGCAACTAGACTTGGTGAAGGAGGACATTTTTAATCAATACCTTTAGTAGTGTTGTGGCAGCACTAAGGATATTGACAGTCCTTGGCTCAAAAAGTTTATTCAAAAAGTAAGTAATTAGCAATTTTTTAATGGGAATCATATCTATCTGAGTCCATGAGTCTCATATTTCTTAATAATATAACATGCCCTTCCTGGGTTTTGTTAGCATGGGTGGCATTGCGACCAGCTGTGACTCGGTGATTACCGGCAAGGAGGCTTTTTGTTAGGAGTCAATGAAATTTTTGTAAAAAAAAAAGATTCATTTTCTTTTTTTCATAAAGTTAACCTTTGAAAAATAATCTTTTAACAGAGCCCTCTTGTAAGAATATTCAGTATCTATGTTACAGCCCTTGGTATATTTATTCTTCCAATCTAACTTAATCTATTATATTTATTAATATATAATATTAATATATTATAGCCCTTTGTATATTTCTTATTCCAATCTAACTTAAATTAATAAAAATCACAGCATTGTCATAAGCTTGCCTCTTTATTAGACCAAAGTGAAACTATACTTCTATTTTCAGTATAAAATTAATGATAGTGTTAGAAACTGTCGGAATGCCAACCTCACATTGCTACAGTGATAAAGTTTAGCACATTCATATAACAACTAACACCATCTCAGAGTATCTGGGGTGGAATTACATGTTAATTTTGAAGCACATAAAATAGTTAAGAATCAATTTAAAGTCAAGGTTTTAAAAGCATAATGTCTTTTGAAGGATTGCTTATTGACTTTAAATATAACTATCTAATTATATATGCATGGACTAACGTATGAAGTCAACTGCTTTGCAAATGCCAGGAGGCTGTTTTTCAGTAATAGTTGAGATGCTTACGGGAAACTAGATTGCTGTATTGCTGGGGAAGAAAATGGCTTGTGAGGTTATTTACAAGTTTTGCCCCATGGTCACTGCCATACATCAATAATAGGTATTATTATAGAGAAAGTCTTAAGTGTTTCTGCTTATGAAGCATTATAAATTCTGTTTGGAGTATTTTCCTTGCATTTTTGCCATCATTCACTTTCCTTTTTTGGCTGTGTTATTGCCAGTAGAATTTAAAGTAGTACATGATTTCAGTTGATAAAGATAATGATGTATGTCTGTAAATTGTATTCACTGACTAGATTATAATTTCACAGTTCCATTATGCCTATTGCCAATAAAATTACTGTTTTTATAAGCTTTATTTTCTAGACCTTGTATTTTATATATGTTTATATCAAACAAAGCATAATCAAGAAGTATATCTTTCCAAAGTTTCAAATTAGTGATTGCTTTTACCGTGCAAAATAAAACAGGCTGGGATGTTCATAGAGAATTGATTTTATCTTTGCACTGAGATAGTAGCAGTTTAATATAATGTAAATACACTTGCATAGATGTTTCTGAGGCTGATCAACAGGAATTATTTTATTTCACACTGAGTAAAAATTATTGAATTTTCATGTGAGTGGAAATGCTATTTGTATGTTGTTCTGATAATGTGGTAACGTTTACATTGCTTACTCGGTAAATTGCATCATTTCATTAGAAAGCACACACTTAATAAATAGAATAGGTGCAAAACCTTTTTACTCCATTATGAAAATGTTACGTGTAGACATTTGTTTAAGTAGAATAAAGTAAATTGGTCATTTGTTAATAAGACGCCAAAAAAGCACAGTAGCAAAGAGTATATAAACTGTCATTGTCCTTTCTTTTTCTTTTGGTGTCTACTGTAATTCTTCCTACATAGCCACGCCCACTCACCTTTCCTGCCACAGGTTATATTCACGGACACAAAAGGCGTGAGAAACCGGCCACCTCAACTTTCCAAAGTGTGACTTCAGGACAAGCTATTAGACAAAGACCTAAACAGAGGAGCAAGGAAAGACAAGGGTACAGGAAGCTTGAAGTGCTGTGGGTTTTATTTCTGTACCCTCAGTAACCTTGGTTTCATGATTCAACATTTTAGATGTAAATAATTTACAACAATAAAAGTGAGAGCACATTTACGTGGAATAGAAGTAAATAATTTAGTTCTCAAATGTGGGATGCCCCTAGTAATGAGAAACCATTGAGAGGTATTCATCAGATATCTTCAATGGACTCTGCAAATGTGTGAAATTTTGTGATTTAAGAATTTGTTTTCTTTATTTTGTTTTCAGTGAGAAGGAAGAGCAGTCCTATGCATGGGGAGGAGGGGACAACAGAAGGAAAAAGACAATGATAATGACTTGGGGCTTGTTTTGACAGTGGATACGAGTGGTCTCACCTCTTGAATTCTAAGATTTAAGTGATATTCACCTGTATGTGTTGATAAAGAGCAGACTAATTCTCTAAGAATTTTTAATTTTACAAATAATATATAAGCTTTATTTCATTTAAATTGGACTCTCGCAGTGCACGATCAGAATTAAAGAGTCTGTGGTAAGCCAAGGAGTGATAGGACCAGGTTGGCATCAGTGAGATGGAGAATTAGATAATTACAGGCACACCTCATTTTATTGTGCTTCACTTTATTGCGCTTCACAGATATTATGCCTTTTACAAACTGAAGGTTTGTGGCAACCCAGCATCGAGCAAGTCTGTTGGATCCATTTTCCCCATAGCATTTGCTCACTTCCTGTCTCTGCGTCACCTTTTGGTAATTCTTACAGTATTTTAAACCTTTTCATTATTATTATATTTGTTACCGTCATCTGTGATGTTATAGTAGCAAAAAGATTAGGACTCGCTGAGGGCTCAGATGATGGTTAACATCTTTTAGCAATAAAGTATTTTTTAATTAAGGTATGTGCATTTTTTTGGACATAATGCTTTTGGGCACTTCGTAGACTACATTATAGTGTAAAAATAACTTTTATATGCACTGGGAAACCAAAAAATTCATGTAACTTGCTTTACTGCGATATTTTTTTAATTCTGGAACTGAATCCACGATATCTGCAAGGTCTGCCTATGTTACCAAATGCTTTTGACAGAATTAAAGTACCAGAATAGGATAACGCTCCTTTTCACACTTTGTACAATCTCATCCTTTTGGAAAATAGACCAGAATTCCAAGTCTCTTTCCTGACTTCATTACTTACTGGCCATGAGACTGTCAGCAGGTTCTTCAGCCTTCCTGAACCTAGCTTTCGTTAACTGTAAAAATGGTACCTGCTTATGTGGTTGTTGTGAAGATTAAATAAGATGATACACCAAAGTGTTTAGCACAAAGGCTTAGTATATGGTATTTAAGAAATACTAACTAATATCAATTATCTTTACATAATCAATTTTAATATTTTTTAAAGAAGCCGTACAGAGGTCACAGACACAGGCTTTGCAGAGATTTTATACTGATCCTCTGCTCTGCCACACATTAGCCATATGACCTTGTGCAGATTTCTTTCTAAGCCTCGGTTTTCTCATCTGTAAGATAAGGATAATAATAACTGTGAGGATGAAATAGAATACATAAAGCACTTAATACAGTGCCTGCCTCATAGTAGCACTCAAAACTTTTTTTTTTTTTTGGCCGCCTGGCATGCGGGATCTTAGTTCCCCTACCAGAGGTCGAACCTGTGCCGCCTGCAGTGGAAGCACGGAGTCTTAACCACTGGACCGCCAGGGAAGTCCCAGCACTCAAAACATTCATATGTGAGTGTGTATGTATTTATGTGCATTATATAATATGTGAAAACTTGCACACACGAGAAAAAGACTTGAAACAGCCTCTGTACCCACACCCTGATCCACAGCCCTTTACTAGGATGTCTTTCCTCCAGAGTGCATATAATTCTCAACAAGTCAGTTGTTTGACTTCCCAAGTCACAGAAGATCACCAGTCATAGACTAGAAGTGAAATAGGAGCTGCTAAATGCTGGCTTTGTGACAAGTGTGAATTCACAGAAGATTTATGGAACTCTGTAAGACTGGAAACTTTTAGGGCAAAGGCTGGTTGGTATTCTTTGCTGCACCTAGTAAGTGCTTAATAAATGGTCCTAAATTGAACTGAGGGATTTTTAACGTAGCATAAAGGATGTTTAAAATGAATTTCTTTTCAAAAGAAGATAAAGTACACATCCATTTACAAATCTTTATTTGCCAAAATCCATTTAAACATTATAGAAAAAAGTCTATCGAATCACTTAAATGAGGGGATTTGTAAAGAAATCTCACTCCTCAGAGATGTGGGCTGTATGAGGAGGTACTTGCTGTAATTACCTCCATTGGTCATTTCATCTCAAAGTATAGCCCTGGTATTAGCGTGCTTTAATTCTACCTATGTTACCCTCCTTAACTAACACTTCCCAGTGCCATTGGTCATGAGCATGAAGTTCTGCTCAGGGACTTGCTTCTGGAGAAAAACCTGTCCTTCCTAGGTAAGTATTGCTTACGTCCTCTCCAGCATATGTTATCTCCACGAGTGCTTAAATATATATTTTTAAAAATCTTCCACTTGCAGTTATTATGTACTAAAGGAAGAGAAAACGATGATGGATGCTGTGCATGTTATCTTTTATTGATTTAGAACTGAGCAGGAACTCAGTTACCTAATCCCCTGTATATACAGCACATGCACAGGCTTGCAATTAATATTTTATAGCATAAGTGGCTGAAAAAATGCTTTAATATCTGTTGCAGTATTACTTTTGGTGTCATGAGATATTAGCCATAATCTAGGCCTTCCAAGAGAAAGAAACAAAAGAAATATTGTCCATAAAATACTTTATATATTAAAAAGAATTGTTAGAAAAATTCATGTTAGGTATTTTTGTCTCATGTATGGAATCGGCTAGTACTTTTACTTGAAAATGAAATACTGAGCTTTTATTATTTTTATGCCAAACATGAATTGTCATCATAGATTTAGTATGATTTTTTAAAATCTCACATGTATGCATGTGTTTGTGTGCCAGTGTGGAATCTTACTACAGATTGTTATTTCTTTCAACATCTCTTACGCATTAGAAATTAAGCCTCAAAAGGCATTCGTGTGATAACTGATCACAGCAACCATAAAGCACTCTACAAGGAATTAATTCCTCTTCTCCATTTTAAATGTGGTAATTTATCAAGGTTCTATACAGATCGTATTATTGTACACATCTGTTTTATGTGGATGTTTAAGAGTTTGCATAGTGTATTTTTTTTTAGTTTAAAAACATCAAACAATATTGGATTACATAATTTTTGCTCCAAAATGGACAAGACTTACCCAAGGAAAGTCAAATGAATAGTCTTATGTCAAGTTGAGGAAGGATGTTGAATCCAGTCCTGCAAGAAGTCTGTTTTAACTCTTAATATTCAGTATTTTTATTAGTGACCTGGAGAATGGAGTTGAATGTGTTATAAGATTGTTGATAATTTTAAGATGGGGCATACCATAAATATTCTCCAGCGAGAGTTAAGGAAAGCTGATAAATTAGGAAAGCGGCCTCAGATTACTGAATTAAATTTTGCTATGCAAAAGCAGCAAGTTTTTGTTTTTTTTAACATCTTTATTGGAGTATAATTGCTTTACAATGGTGTGTTAGTTTCTGCTTTATACAAAGTGAATCAGTTATACATATATATATGTTCCCAGATCTCTTCCTTCTTGCGTTTCCCTCCTACCCACCCTCCCTATCCCACCCCTTTAGGTGGTCACAAAGCACCGAGCTGATCTCCCTGTGCTATGCAGCTGCTTCCCACTAGCTATCTATTTTACGTTTGCTAGTGTATATATGTCCATGCCACTCTCTCACTTTGTCCCAGCTTACCCTTTCCCCTCCCCATATCCTCAAGTCCATTCTCTAGTAGGTCTGCATCTTTATTCCTGTCTTGCCCCTAGGTTCTTCATGACCTTTTTTTTTTTAGATTCCATATATATGTGTTAGCATACGGTATTTGTTTTTCTCTTTCTGACTTACTTCACTCTGTATGACAGTCTCTAGGTCCATCCACCTCACTACAAATAACTCAGTTTGTTCCTTTTTATGGCTGAGTAGTATTCCATTGTATATATGTGCCACAGAAGATGTGGCACATATATACAATGGAATATTACTCAGCCATAAAATGTTTTTTTATATAAGAAGAACAACTGAGATGTTCAGCATATGGAAAGAGGGTGAATTAGATAGAAATCACTTTTTAAAATCTGATAAAAAAACAAGAGTGTATAATGACTCAGAACCAGTTGGAATGGATGACCTATGATGCACCATGAGATATGGTGTAGAACTATGGAGTTCCGATAATATTATGAAGTATCTGATCACATTGATCACTCAGTGACCAATACAGCACAGCCAAGTCTATTGTTTGAAGCCACCGACTGAGCAGTCATATTTTCAAGACTGCTTGGTATTACTCTCTTGGCACCATCTGCTTAAGAGTAGTCAGGCCCTTGGCACCACTTCTTTGCTTCGACTAGCTTTTCTCTGCTTCCTTCCTGAGGACTAGAAGACCCCACCAGGGAGGAAAGGCAAAGGGCTTACTCATGGCTTAAACTTAGTCCCAGGTCCTTGACTCCCTTGATTCCGGGAACTGAGTGCACTAGACTGGATTGGCCATGGCTGACAAAGGCAGTGCAGAAACACGCCAGGGAGTCATTGCCACTTGCATACGTGTTCAGAAAGGGGACTTAATATGGAGGAATCCCATCTATTCCTCTGTGCTCTAAGATCTAGAGGTAATTCTTTTATTGAAGCATACTAAAGATGATACTTAACTGGTGTTTTAGCTGGCTTCATGTAACCTCAGTCCTGTTTTGAAGCATTTCCTCATCAGCATATGAAGAAGTTGTTATTCTATGCACTTTAAGCGTTTTAATGTAATACTGAATTAATACATGTTTATTTATGGTTAAACCATGAAAATTCAAAGCTTTGTATGGAGTATTGTTATGGGGTTGTTCTTTTACCTTGTAAATACCCCTTCACAATGATTAATCATATCTAAAGTACTGTACCAGGTAAATTTAGATAGATCATCAAAAATATTGGTATATAAATAGACCACTAAACGTATTTTATGTTTTCTTGTTTACATGTGTACACCGTGAATTTTGTTGCAGAGGCATTGCAAACATGTTTGTTTTACTTTGATTTTTTTTTTAATAAATGAAGGTAAAATCAATCTCTTTCCCTCCGTGTCTCTCTCTCTCTCCTTCCCTCCCTCCCTCCCTCCTTCAAATCTGGACTACTTTCAAAGGACGAGGATTCTTATTGTTTATATATTACCCCTTCTTAAGAATTATGACTTCCTGAAATTTTTTATCTCATTTAAAATTTTCCACCCATTGTGCTCAATATGTCATTTTATAAAATACATATTTTATCTGACCTCTGTAAAACAGAGAGGTCAGATAAAAGAGAAAAATAAAAATAAATCACTTTTATCTTAACCCTAATAATTTCTTAAATTTTCTTGATTTATAACCATGTACTGAGCAGTTGCTATGGCACAAGATTTAACCAGGCACTATTGGAAAGAGAGTCCTTTTCACTGAAGATTTGGGTGTACTCTTGGATTTATCCTATCTTGTAAATTTATCCATTTTGTACTTCTCGAAATGTATATTGTATTAAGAGGAGTCAACGTTGAATAAATGACTTTAGTTTCTCCAACTCGAAAATATATTTTATTCACATATTTGTTTGAAAAATAAGTTACTGAGTCAGGTACTATTTTAGGCATTAGACATAAGTCAGATAAAGTCCCTGCTTTTGTAGCGTTATGGTCTAGTAGGGAGACAAGTTACAAACAAATAAGTACAGGTAATTTCTAGCAATTTTCTCAGAGTTCTTGTAATTCTTTTATTCATTATCCATTCATTCTTTTCAGTTAACTTTTGTCGCGTATGTTCTCTGCATGCCAGGAACTATACACTAATTACTACGAGGATGATGACAGACACTCCCGCCGTCCGGCTGCTCAGTCACACACACTATTGCCTTGTCCGTCCCAGAAAGAATGCAGTTTCATCTAGTGCATCTCACTTGATTGTCTTGATAGTGAAAATAAATACATTCAAGGCTGTTATCCTGCTTCTCCTATGAAATTTTTGAAAGAAAGGTACAGATTATATTTAAAATCAATAGCTACCCTTTACATATGAAGAAAATGCTACTGGCTCATAAGCTACTTTTCCTGAAGTGGTGATAGAATTTTACTTCCTCATCTGTTCTCTCTCAGCGGCCCCTTCCTGCTTCCATGTGCTTCTCGGACAGCTAGTTGAACTCATTAGCTTGGCTGTCTTACCACTAAGCTAACCACTCTTTCTTTTGGTGCAGCAGACAGATACCTTTAGTACTTGCTAGGGGCAGGTACCATTAGGGGTAAAAAAAAAAAAAAATCTTAAACATGGAGCCTTCCAGGAAATTTTCAGATAAGTAGAGGTCAGTTCTTTCCAAGGATAGTTAATTTAGAATGAATATTTATTGATCGGCATTTAAAGTCTCAGAAAATGTGAAGAGCCTACTGCCGACTTTTAGGCTTGGAAGCACAAAGAACCCTTCTTAAACTTTAAATTGACCAGTGTCACTTGTGACCATCCTTATCCCCTCTGCTAAGAGTTTGTTCCATTTCTAACATCAGTGAAATAGAAAATGTATTATGTCTACTGATGGAGATGTTTTAATTTGTATCTCTCAAGTAATTAATGAAACCACGTTTTTTTATATCCTCTCTCTGTCTCTGTCTCTCTGTCTGTCTCTCTTTTTTGAGGGGGTGAGGGGAGAGATTTGGACAAAAGGCAAGGGAGGAAAGGAAAATAGTGACTGCCAGAAGATGACAAGACTGTTTGCACTGTTAGGGAAGATATGAAAGAGCTTGTACCAAAGACTGAAGACGAACCATTCATCCTCCATGGGTTGGCATATCTCCAGGTCGGAGGGACTTTCATTAGTGACTTCCACAGCCACTGTCTGGTGCAAATTCTTGTTAAGTTTGGCTTGATAAGGATGGCTCTGCAGTTATTTTATTCTTTCCAGTGAATGTTGCCCTGTTAGTAGAACCTAACAATTATTTTGAGTGACACCTGAGAGACATTTGCTTCATCCCTTCCTCACCCTACCATGTTTGGTCTTGCCTTATGACAAACCAGCATATTTTACATGGGTGCTTTTCTAGCATTCATGTATTACTCTGTGGGACTCCAGGAGGGTGTCATCTGTAAAGCCAAATAGGCTTAGTGAAGGATGTCCCTTGCTGTAAGAAATTAGGATCTTTGTTTCTAAGAGTTCATCTACTCCTGCTGCTTTATTCCCCACCTGAAGCAGCAGTGCTCTGGGGAAGTGATTATGATGTGACAAACGGGGGATTATGACTTTAGGTGAAGAATAGGCAGTGGGAATAGATGAGATTTAGAATACTAGGATTGTGTTTACATGCAGAT